TAGGTGTTTATTGCTAGTCTAACTCACCTCCGTCTCTGTAGAATTTTTATAACGTTCTACATTGCCTAGAGACACACAGATTGGATGCTGATGACTCCTGGAAGGGCCAGATAATTCTGAGAATCCTTTTTTATTTGTCTGGTTGTTAGTGACCACAAGACTAAGTCCTGCTGTCTAGTTAAGTCAACTAAAATATCCCGAGACACAGACCAAAGACTTAGAAGAAACTTGTAGTCGGATTTGAATGCTCCTGGTCACCATTTGTTTCCTGTAATTATCCTGAAACCCTGAGTTAATATAAAACTTCTGTATTTGTCTTTCCAGGGTGTGAGTTCCAAAAGTTTATAATCTCTTATACATTCTGATTCCAATCAGGACACCATCAAGACAGCCTTCATTGTTGTTGTCTCCGCACTAATGGCACCTTCTAATCAAACATCTCTTTTGCTCTCTAACTTGGAGGTAGTGCACTTGGCTCTGGTGCTCCAGGGCACAAACCTCGAGAGGTAACAACATGGGTTGTGGTATGAGAATCTGGATACCTGGAGCCTGCTCCTCTGGATTATTTTAGCAGCCTTCTAACTGGCGTCTCCGCTGCCACTCCTCTCCAATTTTGCCTTTTCTTCCCTCGCTCTTCTCCGGCCACATCCATTCCCTGACAGTCCTTGAACATGCCAGGCCGGGCCCTGCCTCAAGGCCCTTGCACTTGAAGTTCCCTTTGCCTAAATGCTTAGAATGCTATTTTTCAGATGTCTACATGATTGACTGCCTTACTATCTTCAGGTGTCTGTTAAAATCTCACCTTATCTGCAAGAGATAGGAACTGACAGTTCATAGACATAAGGCTAAATAAATGATCTTTAAAGATATAGACAGACATTCAACCACACTCAGGAGAGAAGGCCATAGTAAAACAATGTTGAGATACCATTTTCATTGATTTGATTGGCAAAAATCCACAAGTTTGACACAGTGCTCTATGGGTGAGACTGTCAAGGGAAAGGCCCTGTAGTACATTGCTACCGGGGAATTTCACCGTAGGTTGTGTTTCCGCACTGTTCTTATTGCAAAGGACGGAAAACAACATAATTGGCCTTCACATGGGGGCTGATTGTATATGCAAAGCTACATCCACACAACTAACTACTGCGTAGTTTATGCAGCTGTGATAGTTACATAATCAGTTGTCAATTTGAGACTTACGAGTGAAGGGGTGGAGTTTAGCCTGTCAATCAGGTCACAGCTTGATGATCTCATTTGCAGGTGCTAAGGAGAAAATAGCTCACTGGAGGGTGGGGGGGGAGAACACATTCTCACTGCCTGCGAGATATTACTGACAACGAGCCTGATAGAGCTATGCTGATGCAGCCAGAGCTCTGGAGCCAGAGGAGCCACGTGAAGACCCACACCAGCCCTGAGATGCTTATACCTCCACTGGATCCACAAGACTTTCCACCCACTGGCCTGTGATCTTGCATGTGTTTTGTGAGGCTGACGATTACTTTATAGATTGGTATCAGACATACGGTGAGATTGTTAGTTTATTGTGCCAGCCTGGCCAATAAACACAAGTGGGATTAATTGAAGGGCGAAGAGATAAATGGCTCGGTGAGCCTTGCCTTTCTTGTCTCTTGCTCTTTGATCATCAGACCAGTGTGCGGCTGCCTTGCTTGTTCTGTGCCTCTATTTACAGGCTACACTACCTGTGGGACTCCTAGCCTGTAGACTGTGTCGCTGTAAGTTGAGGTCCCTTTAAGACCACACGATTGAAATTTACATCTCTGGAGCTGGGGACTGACAGTTGGTGACCTGCCTTGCTATTTGCTGCTGTGCTGATATAGCCTAACTCTCTCTCTACAGAGGAAGACCTGGCAGCCCTCAAGACTTGAAGGACTGCTAGTGTCTCACAACTCTCTTACGGGAGTGAGTTACACTGAGCCATTTGTACAGCTTTATAATTTAATTGTTAATTTCTTGTATTATCTATATATCTGTATATAATTTAACAGTTCATGTCTTGTGTTATATATCTAACTATCTTTATACATAAATATACATAAATATATAAAATTATATCTCTCCGCCCTTCAATTAATCCCACTTGTGTTTATCGGCCAGGCTGGCACAATAAACTAATATTGAACTTAAGGACTTGATCTGGATTAGGCTGGGATGTTTTTTCAATATTCAATTGCTCTTGTATATAAAACTCTTTCTTATAAACATGAGTGTCTATGAATTTGTTTCTCTAGTCTACCCAGACTACCACAGCAGCTCTGAAGAGGAATTATCTCCATACACTCCCATGAAATGATCTCCAAGTCCAACACAGTATTTACAGACATCTGGTCATGTGACTGAAGCCTTAGTGGAGTAGTGAGCTACGAGTCATAAGGTCAGCTATTCAAACCCATCAAGTTTTCCAAGGCTTAAAAGTCCTGGAAAACCCTACGGGATAGTTCTACTCTGCCCTATAGGGTCACTATGAGTTGGAGTCAACTTGACCGCAGTGAGTTTAGTGGTGCTGTTGGGTAAGCATAAAGCTGCTAACCTCAAGGTCAGTGGTTCAAACCCATCAACCATTCTATGGAGAAAGATGAGGCTCCTGTGAATATTTACAGCTGCAGAAACCCAATATAGGGTCACTATGAGTTGGAATCAAATTACTGGCAGTGGATGTTTAAAGTACAATTTTGTGCAAGAAATGGAAGAAAATAAGATTACAAATTTGTGAGTGTGAGCATAATTTGCTTATCTAAGAAATAACACATGGATAATCCAAAAATTAATAAAAATGCAAAGGGAGGGGAGGCTAAGAAGAGGGTAAAGGGGACAGGATAGAGGCTAATCGTCTCTAAATCTACCTTGTTTTGTAGTTTTACATTTTGGACCCTTGTAAATTGTTTTAAAAGTCTGGACCCTTCCAAACTCTTGTAAAAGTTAAATTGAATATAAATAATCCATAAAATGAAAAAGCAAACAAATAAGCTTAACTGTATACCAGCTTACTTAATTAGCCACACAGAGGGCAATTGTTTCAAATGGTTTTAATAAGGCAATGTAAGTTGTATATCCTGAGTGAAATACTGCCTGTGTACCTCTCAAATCAAGGATCAAGGCATCTCAAATTTTGTTCATTGATAATACTGTCGTAGTTATTTCAAAATTAATATATGTAAATAGATACTTAATGTTAGTATCATTAGTAACCAAAAATTTTAATATATGATAAACTCAAACTTATTGCCATTAAGCCAATGCGAACTTACATAGTCCCTCTAAAGGGTTTCCAAGACTAAATTTTTATGAGAGGAGATGGGTTCATCTTTTTGCGTCAGAATGACTAATGGGTTTGAACCACTGACCTTGAGGTTAGCGGTTCAGTGCTTA